AAAGGTTATGCCAGTCCAGCTGTAAGTTCTAGATCAGGGAACCACAAAACTTTTTATAAAAAGTCAAGTATCGCCGGGAGTGGTGGCACGTGCCTGTAGTCCTAGCACTTGGAAGGCAGAGGCAGGCAAATCTCTGTGAGTTCAAGGCCAGCCTGGTCTACATAGTGAGTTCCAGGCCAACTGGAGCTACAGGGAGACCCTGTCTCAAAAAGACCAAAAAAAAAGTCAAGTATCATCATAAATATTAGCCAGTTATAGTTGGTGATACCTGTAATCCAGCACTTTGGAGGTGGAGGCAGAAGGATCAGGAGTTCAGGGCTTGCTTTGATTACATACCAAGTTTGAGGCAAGTTCAAAGATAGCCTGAGCTACAATAGACCAAGTCTTCTTTTTTTTTTTTTTTTTTTTTTTTTTTTGATCCTTTTGAGACAGGGTCTCCCTGTAGCCCCAGCTGGCCTGGAACTCACCATGTATTCCAGGCTGTCTCTGCCTCCCAAGAGCTGGGACTAAAGGCTTGTGCTACCACACCCAGTTGGCCCTGTCTTAAAACAACAAACAAAAAACATCCACAAAAAGCAAAAACCCAACAACCCTCTCTGAAAAACAAAACAACAAAACCAAAAAACCAAATCAACAAAAACACCCAAACCTCATAATACTCTCAATAAATATTAAGGCTTCACACAGATTCTGTGCAATGACTCAAAACAGTCATAGATAATATGTAAATCAATGGGCATGACTGTGCTCTAAAAAGAGCAGTCGACAATCCTGCTCTAGATAAAAAATTCACTGTTCTCTATTAAACTTATCTCAAAGGAAACATGTTTGGGTTCTAGATCATCAATTTTCCATGACATCATCTTCATTTGATTAATACTACAGTGCTTCAGTTTTACCAAGCACTTCTAAGATGTCTTACAAAAGTCCTTCAGCTTGCTAAGAGCAGAGTTTATCTTCTTTGTATTAATGAGAAAAAGATTAATAATTCATTAAATTGTTCAAGATTATGGGGCTGGAGTGATTGCTCGGTGGTTAAGAGCACTGGCTGTTCTTGCAGAGGACCTGGGTTCAGTTCCCAGCACCACATGGTGGCTAACAACTGTCCATAACTCCAGTTCCAGGGGAATCCAATGCACTCTTCTGACCTCCTCTGGCATGACGTGGGTACACTCACATGCAGGCAACACATTCATACAAATAAAAAATAAAAATAATATTTTTTAAAAAGTAGATTGTTCAAGGTCATCCAGCTAATGAAAGACAAAAATCTACATTTCCTAGATACTAGTTTAGTTCTTTAAAAAATACAAGGTTCCGAGGCTGGTGAGATGGCTCAGTGGAGGGTAAAGGCACTCACTGCCAAGCCTGACAACTGGAGTTCCATCCCTGGGACCCTACACAGTGGAGAGAAGAGACTGTCCTCTGAGTTCTACACATACACATGCTTTGGCATGTACATGTGTGAACACACACACACACACACACACACACACACACACATGCACAAAATAAACAATACATTAAAAAAACCCATAGGGTTCCAGACCTGGTAGTGTATGCCTAAACCCCAGCATTTAGGAGGTTGAGGTAGAAGGGGGGTGAGTTTGAGGGTAGCCTGGTATGCTGGATACTTTAGTTTTCAACTTAACACACCTGGGTAAAGGGAGCAAGCCAGTAAGCAGCATTCCTCCAGGGCCTGAGCTCCAGCTCCTGCCTCCAGGTTCCTGCCCCGAGTTCCTACCTTGGGCTACCTGATGAACTGTGACCCTGGAGATGTAAGCTGAATAAATCCTTTCCTCCCTAAGTTAGTGTTAGAGTATTTTGCCACAGCAATGGAGAAACAAAATGGGACGCCAAAACAGAGGGGCTGGAGGGATGGCTCAGTCGTTAAGAACACATACTGTTCTTCCAGTGGACCCAGGTTCCATTCCTATCACCCACATGGTGGCTAACAACTGTCTGTAACTCCAGTTCCAGGGGATCTGACACCCTGTTCTGGCGTCTCTGGGCATTGCATGACATGGGCACACTCACATACATGCAGGCATAACACACACTAAAATAAAATATTTTTAAAAAACCAAAACAGAAAACAAAAACCTGCCAACTAAACAAAAAACAGAGTTATACAGGCTTGTAATCCAAGCTATTTGGGAGGCTAAGGAAGGAGGACTACAAGTTTAAGGCCTGTGGACTACATAGTGAGTTCAAGATCAGCCTAGCAACTTAGTGTGATCATGTCTCAAACTAAAGGAAATGGCTCTGGATCTGGCTAAGTGGTAGAGTACTTGACTAACATACACAAAGCCCTGGATTTGATCTCCAATACAGTCAGAAAAAAAACAGGGCCGGGGAGATGACACAGTGGGTAAAAATGCTTGCTGTGTAAAAGCAGGACCTTGCAGGGGCATCCACTCTTATGTAAATAAGCCCCCACCAACTCTGTTAGCAAGCCTAATAAACTCATTAGGATCCCCGCTCCCCCCAAAAAGAACAAAGCTAATGGAAACTTTCATTATTCCATCAAAGTTGACCCCATGTTGGCAAATCTTTTGGTCTTTGATTTGTTAAATTAAAAATTACTTTATGTGTACATGTGTATTGCCTGCATGTAGGTGAACGCACATGCCCTTGGAGGTTAGAAGAGGCTGTCAGATCCCTTGGGACTGGAATTGTTAGCTGCCATGTGGGTGCTGGGATTCAAACCTGGGTCTTCTGCAAGAACAACCAGTGTTCTTAACCACTGAGCAATCTCTCCAGCCCCGTTCTTTGATTTCTTATTCCTATTCCCACCCCCCTTAAACTTCACTGTATATATACTACGTAAAAAAATTAATAATTTTTAAGACTACAAAAACAAAACAAAAAAAAAGTAGGAGGACCTGAGTTTGAATCCCCAATACCCACTTGAAAGCCAGATACAGTGGGAGCATCTGAAATCCTAGCAATCTGACAGTGAGATGGGAAATGGAGACAGGAGAATCCTCAGAAGCTCTTGGTTCAGGTAGCCAGTGTTCAAAGAGGCAAAACAACAAAGAGATCCTGTCTCAATTAAGGTGGAAGTTGAGGATGACATCCGGGGTTGTCCTCTGACCTCTACCTGTGCACTGTGGTGTATACCTCTGTTCACATATATACAGTTTCCTCCCCATACCCTAGCCACGTTATCAACCTTCAATGCTGCCCTATAAGGTGACACACATCTGCTGACCCAGCTTGAATCCAGAAGTTAGTTCCAGGCCAGTATAGACAATATGGTGAGACTTGTCTTCAAGAAAATAACTTTAGAGCAGGGTGTGGTGGCACATGCCTTTAATCCCAGCACTGGGGAGGCAGAGGCAGGAGGATCTGTACATTTGCATGGAAAACTGTACACAAAGCATGTGACACAAAACATAGGGTAAGATCTCTCTCAATGAACAAAGTTTGGCCTTAAAGTACACACTGAGTCTTCATGACCATGAATTAGCAGCTAAAAAGAGGCCAAAGAATAAGTCCACAGCTCAGCTTCTGACAGCACATGGCATCTTGAGGGTAAACATCCACAGATCTGCTCAGTTCACACAACTTCTCGTGTATTCCGGGTTGCTGTTCTTTCTTCAAGACTGAATAAGACCTTTCAGTTTACTCAACTGTTTCCAAAAGATCTGGATAAAGTTCTCAAACTAGAGTAAAACTTATTTTGTGTATTATACTTCCTTCGGATCCTGATTTTCATGTATATATGTAGATAGGTTCTCATGTATCCTAGGCTGACCTCATCAGACTTGCCATGTAGCTGAAGATGATCTTCAGTTTCTGATCTTCATGCTTCTGAGTATTGGGATCACTGGTACGAGTCATCAAGCGTGGCTTATTCAGTGCTAGGGATCAAGCCTAGGGCTTTGTGCATAGGTAAGTATTCTACTGAGCTACTTCCCTGGTCCATTTATTTATTTTGGGGCGTACTGGGATTGAATTTAGAGCTTTATACCTGCTAGGTTAGGTGCTCTACCACTTGAGCCCAGATCTTGACTTTTGTGTGCATATGTATATGTGTGTGTGCTTGTAGAGGCCAGAAGTTAACATCCAGTATCTTCTTCAGTCACTCACCTTATTTTTTAAGGTAGCAGCTCTCTGAACCTGGAGTTCACTGAATCAGCTAGACTGGCAGGCCAGCCAGCCCCAGGGGTCTGTCTCTGATTCCCCAGTGCTGGAATTATCATATACTTTTCACATAGATGCTGGGACTCTGAACTCAGCTCCAGCATTATCAAGCCACTGAGACACCTCCCTACCACCACCACCCCCTTTTATTTTTTCACATTTGAGACAAGGTCTTACTCTGTAGCCTAGGCTGGCCTGTAACTCTATATATGTAGCCCAGACTGGCTTTGAACTCCTGCCTCTGTCAAGTGCTGGGATTACAGATATGAGCCACCATGCCCAGTTTCAGAATTTGATTTTTTTTTTTTTTTTTTTTTGGTCTTTTTGAGACAGGGTTTCCCTGGAGCCCCAGCTGTCCTGGAACTATGTAGACCAGGCTGGCCTTGAACTCACAGAAATCCGCCTGCCTCTGCCTCCCAAGTGCTGGGATCAAAGGCATGCGCTACCACGCCCGGCCAGAACTCGATTTTTAAAATAGATTTTAATTGTAACACTAAGACTTTGCACTTCCTTGAGGGAGCTTAAGAAATTACATGATCAAAGAATGCAGTTGACTAGTTGACCTGCAAAGTTGCAGCTGCTGATAAGGATGTTCTGCAGTTTGAAAATAATATATTCTAAAAATTACCATTGTTTTTGTCATAATATTTATTTTGAAATTCCAAATAAGACTAAAAAGGATATGAACTTTAAAATATATATATTAAAAAGAGTGTAAGCAAAAATTAGAGAAACATTGTCCTAAGTTCTTGTAGAACATAAAACTCATCTTTCATTACTATTCTGCTGTGACTTAGTATAAAAATACAGATGGCACAGCTTTTATATAGCTTTAACAACTTGATTATAAATTGCTTTCAAAAGTAATTTATTTGGATTTTTCCATATTTTTAATGAATTGTAAATATATTAACAGAAGACTTTTCCCCCAAAGACTGTACAATTTCTGAAATAAGTCAGGAAAAGCAAAAAGAAGACACAAAATTACATTGTTTCAATGCAAATAGAACACACATAGCACACCCACACTTGCATTTTCCCAGGTTTTCAGAAAGAAAACGGGTCATATTTCTCAGCAAAGACCCATACTATACTCTGGCTAATCAGAGACTTTGAAACTGTTTTCTTCAAAAAGAGTGTTTTTAATAGACTAAATACTGGTTCTCACTGAGTTTTTAAGGTACAACAGCAGCATGGTTCAAATGTTTCTTGCGGTTCTGGGATAAAATAAAAAATTCAAAGTGATGAAATACAGAAAAAGTAGAGACCACCTTTCATTATTCTGAGTACCATTTGTTTTCCTGAAAAAATATTCCAACTTTCTAAAGTCCTAGAGTAATAACCATTTCCATGGGGAAAAAGAAAGCAATGCTATAATATACTTTTGTGTGTGCGTGTATATATATTTATATATGTATATATATGTATAGCTGTGAAAAGCTTAAACAGAAAAAAAAAGATAGCAAAGTACTTAGTCTTCTTAATTTCATTCAAAGAGAATTCTGAAATTTGAAAAAAACATTTTGCTTGACCAAAATGTGTTTCTTCTGGTTGTCTGATTCCCTACTCTGTGGAAAAAAAAAAAAAAGAAAAAGAAAAAAAGAAAAAAAAAAGGAGAAAAAAACCCCAAAACAATGCAAAAAACAGTTACTACATAGAAATAAGGCTTCAAACACCTAAATGACTTTAAAAGTAGGTATGCGGAATAAACAAAAGTAGGCCAAGTGGGGGCCTAAGTGTCCCTCAGCTGGCTACTGCCATGGTGTGCCCTTTGTAACTATCCTTCTACCCTTTGTCTCAAAATCAACACCAGAAAGTCCCTCTGGCACAGGACAAAATTCCTCCCACAAAAAGATAATTACACTTCAGTAAATTATGCTCTGAGCTTAGCTTTCTCCAGGCTGTGTAACAGAACTCAGGTAAACTTTCTATGAAACTAACTCTAGATCTGATACTGTTTGATAAATGAATATATAGCTGGCTTTATGATTTGCTAATTAAAATAAAGTAAAAGGAACTAAAATTAAACTTTATATAGCTAATGGATATTAAAATGGAGTATCTGTTAGAATCGAAGTGCTAGCCTTTGGGAATTTTTAAGGATATTCATTTATTCCCAACCTTTCCTTTTCCTCATAAATTATTTCTTTTTAGACAGCACATAATCATAGATTTAGGCAGAAAATTATCTTAAATGCCTCTCTGGTACCTATACCTAACTCAAGACTTTGACTTGAATTGATAAAAGTATCTAATTCATGTTTGGATGAGAAGATTAACAGTAACTGACAAGAAAATTACTGAGCTTACAGGCTAAAAAACTTTCTTCCACATCTTTTGTAATCCACCTAATTTTCACAGCTTGACTAGCAAATGCAGGTAACCAGTAAGTTTGTCCTTCATCAAATGATCCAAAATAACTGTAGGCCTGCCACTCACAAGAAACTATAATTTGTTATATTCTGACATTGGCACTTAATAAAATGTTAACTAAAGCTTCTCTAAAATTTCCAATACATTACAATAAAGGAGATACACAATTTAAGACTATTTAAATCTGTTACTGTGAAATTCCAATAATTCCCATTTCTTTAAAATTGTGGCCATTCCCCAAACATACCAACCCATGTTATGATGAATTCACAAGACAATCTGTCTCTGTCATAAGAAATTTTTCTCTAGGCTAAGTTTTCAACATCTTAAATCCAATTACTCGTTCAGTACAAGTTTTGGTGACTTACATTACTGAAAATAACATGAAGTAGAGAGCAGAAAAGACTGGAAAGGACCTCACTAAAGGAGAGCACACATTCTTGCACTCTACTTACACACCTCAAAAAGCCAAAGGGATAGTGTCTACAAAACATATGTAGATTCCCGGTTAGGTATAATTCTAATTGTTTAAGGCTTCCTTGATCACGATCTCTAAAGTTTTTCTTCAGTGTTCTCATACTGATTTTGTGGTAAACCTAAGTAGTTCTTAAGGGCCTGGTTTTGGCTTTTCAGTGGGGAACCACTCTATCATCCTTGAATGTCAAAGGTGATCCCACAGAGCTCAAAGAGAAGAGGCAGTATGGTAAAGACCAACTTTAAGGTTTGCAATACCAAGACAATGATCAACACTTTGAAGCAAGATGAATAAATTAAAATTCTTGGTTAGACATTAGAGCATTCTTGCCAAGAATAAGTGTACACCGCATGGAGGGCTATCTTATTCCCACATACGAGTCTCAATAGGCCCATTGCATTTATTTATAGGAGACACTGCAAGTTTAGGTAACCTACATTCCTTGGCAATGACGTTTTATTCTGTTACAGGCAATGTCTTTCATTGTTCCATCTGGCACTTGCTGACACCATTCTTGAAGAACCTAGAAATGAAGGTTAGTCACTCTGTTTATCAGGAACAGAACCAAATAAAAAAAAGAGAATTTTGGAAAAATGACCAAGAAATCTGGTTCATCACCATTTCCATATCTAATGGGTCCTTCAAGATAAAACATAACTCTTCCTTCCATGATGGCTTTCCAACCAAGGGAGATTAGAGAAAAAAAGAAAAGAAAGGTCCCCACCCTACCCCATCCAAATTGTCATTCATACTGGTAAAAGAGCCAGCTTGTTAGCAGCAAAGTATTGCACTGCCGTTCATTCTGTATACATCAGGGTCCAGTGAAAGTGGCACACTCATGGTGTAAGTGATGGATGATGATACCGTCGGCTCAAGAGTGAAGACGCAGTATATGGAGGAACAAGAAAGAAGTCAGCACTAGCCACATATCCAGTTGCAAAAGTCTGATGTCCAGAAGTTAAAATTCATCGCTTTCAGCTGCATGGAGCTGTGTGTCATCTGCATCTGTCATGCTACTCTCCTGGGATTCGTCTGTTCCCACTTTGAAAACAGAACAGAAAGTGTAAGCTGTGTGACAAATACATCTTGTTGGTTCATGAAAATAATTTTCATTAATTTGAGATAAGGCCTTAAAGACCATTAAAAAATCCTAATATCCTTTAATAAAATGCAGTTTAAGTTTCACATTTTATAACATGCCTGAAATAACTTACTATATTTAACTTTTAAGTAATGATCATATTCCTTTGAAGACAGGCTCTCATGTAGCCCAGACTGGACTGGAACTCACCATGTAGCCAAGGGTGACCTTGTACTTCTGATGTTCCTGCCTCCATCTTCTGAGTGCTACCTTATAGGCATGTGCCGCCACACCTGGTTTATAAAGTGCTGGGGAGCAAACCCAGGGCCCTGAACAAGCACTCTACTAAATGAGCAACATTTCTAGCCTCCTTCCTTTCCCCAATTTTTTTTTTTTTTTGGTCTTTTTGAGACAGGGTCTCCTTGTAGTCCCAGCTGTCCTGGAACTCACTATGTAGACCAGGCTGGCTTAGAACTAATAAAGATCAACCTGGCTCTGCCTCCCAAGTGCTAGGATTAAAGGCATGTGCCACCATGCCAGGCAACCCCCCCCCCCCAATTTTTTATTCCTACCCTAGGAATTAGAAATAGCTCTCTGAGATAAAAACAGCAGCAGCAGGAACAACAAAAAAGCTAACATTTAACTTGTTTTTTCTTTTCTTTTTCAAAATTTTATTATTTTTATGTGTAAGTGTATTGCCTGCATGTGTATAAGTGCACCTGTGTGGTGCAATGCCTGTAGAGGCCAGAAGATGGCGTCAGATTCCCCCGGAATTGGAGTTAAGGATGGTTGGTTGTTAGCACCATGCTGGGAACTGAATCTGGGTCTGCTGCAAGAACAGCCAGTGCTCTTAACCAGAGTCATCTCTCCAGCCCCTGGAACTCTACCTGCTTCTGCCTTCCCAGGGGTGGGATTAAAGGTGTGTGTCTCCATACTGCTGAAAATTGTGTATCCTAGGCTCTCCTCAAACTCCGGATCCTTTTGCCTCCACCTCTTCAGTATATCCTACTGGCATGTACCACCATAGTTGGCTCTCCTAACCACTCGTCACTGACTTGACTTTGAGGGTAGTACCTGCTAGTCCACAGAAATATGGAATATAACCTTCAGTTCTTCAGTTTCTTTTCTATCTTTTTGAGACAGGGTCTCCCTGTAACCCCAGCTGGCCTGGAATTCTATGTAGACCAGGCTGGCCTTGAACTCACAAAGATCCACCTGTCTCTGCCTCCCAACTATTGGGATTAAAGGCATGTACCACCATGCCTGGCTTGGTCCTTCAGTTTAAAAGAGCATTATAAGAACTTAGCGAGAGTATTTTTTTTTTTTTTGGGGGGGGGGTGGGAATTGTAAAACCATTTTCTTCAGAGATTTGAGGGTGAGGAGGGGCTGAAGAGGTTCTTGTAGGGTAAATCTTCCTGGTTGCCTCATGGCTAAAAAAGCAGACTTGGAGTTTAAGATTTTCACCAAGTTTTCTGGAACAAAAGGCATCTAATCAAAATTTGTCAGAAAATTTCCAATCTTTTATCAAAAGAAAAAGCTGGTGGGACACGACTTTAATCCCAGTACTCGAGAGGCAGAGGCAGGCAGATCTGTGAGTTCAAGGCTAGTCTATTCTACATAGTGAATTCAGGCCAGCTGGGGCTGCAGGGAAGCCCTTTCTCAAAAAGAAAAATAAAACAGGGCGGCGGGGGGAGGCTGGAGAGATAAGCGGTTAAGAGTACTAACTGCTCTTGCAGAGGACCCGGGTTCAATTCCTAGCACCCACATGGCAGCTTAACAACTGTAACTCCAGTTCAGGGGATCTGACACTCTGACCTCTGCAAGCATTGCATGACATGAATGTGCTTATTATACACATTCAAGCAATACACTCATACACATGGAAAAAAATAATAAAATATTAAAAAATACACACATATATAAAATTATTTGTTCTCTTCCGTAAAACTTTTTTTTCCTGTCTTTTGAGACAGGGTCTCCCTGTGTCCCTAGCTGGCCTGAAATTGGCTCTATAGGCCAGGCTGGCCTCAATCTCACAGAGATCCACCTGCATCTGCCTTCTAAAAAATTCTTTTTGAGCAGTCAGTGTTCTTAACCGCTGAGCCATCTCTCCAGCCCCTGAAACGCTCTTAAATATATAAATACATATAAATACTTAAGTTTAGATTTTGAATTTGCCAGAAATACACAGAATTTGAATAGCCACTACTACAGAGATGAGATTCAGGTTAAAAAAACAAACAAAAAAAACCCCAGCAACGGATTTGTCAAAGTCATGCAGAAATGCACTTTAGTATCATTCATGTCACCTTATTCGATTTTCCTAAAATTTCCTTTGATATAAACAGCACAGTTAGAAAAATAACAAAGCAGGCCAGACTCGAAGGCTAAAGGCAGCATTATGAACACTACCAGTCTCATGTATGGTTACTCACTGATCTGTTCTTCTTGGGTTATTGGCTCCTCATCATCTGGAAGATAGCGCTTGTCAATTGCTTCTTTAATCTGATTATTGGCTCCTTTAGGATCTAAATCCATAGCCCAAGAAAAATTCATCAAGGCGAGGTGTGTCTGACCCAGCTTCTTGTAAACCTGAAAGTAAACAGCAGCACTGCATTCTTCCATTATGTTGTGAACTTTAACTATACAATCTCAGACCCAGTTTATATGCTCCAAGTCCATTTTGATGGGGAGGACATTTTCATCCTACAGATGAACTCATACTAACATTTAAGTACCTTTTTCATATAAATAAGGTATTATTTTCATAACTCCTTGCCTATATTTTTCAGATAAGGAAGTTTCCAATAAATCTCATCGATTGGAACACTAACAATGGGAAGAAATAAGCTGCTTGATTAACATTTATTTATTTTTGGGAGAAGGGAGAACAGTGCTGGGGATCAAATATAGGGCCTTGTGCATGCTAGGCAAATTCTCTACCAATGAGCTACATCCTCAGCCCAGTTTATACAGTATCAGGTGCTGGGAATGAAACCTAGGGCTCAGGCAAATACTCTGTCAGCTAAGCTATATCCTTAGCCCTTTGATGATTTTTTTTTTTTTTTTTTTTTTTTTTTTTTTTTTTTTGTTGTTTATTGAGACAGGGTTTCACTATGTGGCCCTGGTTGGCCTGGAACTCACAAAGATTCACGTACCTCTGCCTCCCAGGTACCGGGATTAAAGGCATGCACCACCATGTCCAGCCTTGATACCATCTTTATTTTATTTTTTGTCTTTTTGAGACAGGGTCTCCACAGCTGTCCTGGAACTCACTATGTAGACCAGGCTGGCCTTGAACTCACAGAGATCTGCCTGCCTCTGCCTCCCGAGTGCTGGGACTACAGGCGTGCGCCACCACGCCTGGCTGATACCATCTTTATTAAATGCTAGAACTACATGTATTATTCCCAGAGCCCTTAGTTCAGGGATCTAATTGAATTTTCTCAGTAGATGTTGTAAAATAAGTATTATATTTATTTTTGGTCTTTTTGAGACAGGGTCTCCCTGTAACCTGAGCTGGCCTGGCATTCGCTATGTAGACCAGGCTGGCCTTGAACTCAGAGATCTGCCTGCCTCTGCCTCCCCAGTGCTGGAATTAAAGGTGTGTGCCACCATATAGGGCCTTTATATTTATTTTTTAAAATTGAGTATTTGGGGGAGGGGCTGCAGAGATGGTTCAGTGGTTAAATGCTTGCTACCCTTCCAGAATGTCTGAGTTTGGTTTCCAGCACCCATGTCAGGCAGCTAATAACTGCCTGTAAGTCTTGCTCCAAGGGATCTGACATGGTTTTCTGACCTCTGCAGGTACCAGTACACCCTTGGCATATGTTCATATAGACAAACACAAATAAAAATAAAACCAAACCTTTAAAAAATAAAAAAAGGAATTTATTATCAAAGTTGCAGTGTAAGACCATGGTCCAATTTTTTACCTTTCCTATTAAGAAATAGACGAGGGATTCTTTGGGAACAATTTGTTTCAGTTCTTCAAGTTCTTGTAAAGCAGACTGCAAAAAAAAAAAAATTAGAGGAGTATAATTTTAACAGAATTTTGACTAAGCAAGTGTTGTTAGATTTTTCAAATTATTTTAAAGGCTTACTAGATTTTAATCAATGCACTTGAATTACATCAGTTTCTTTCTTTCTTTTTTTCTTTTTTTTTGTCTTTTCAAGATAGGGTCTCCCTGTAGCCCAGCTGGCCTGGAACTCATTATGTAGACCAGGCTGGCCTTGAACTCACAGAGATCTGCCTGCCTCTGCCTTCCAAGTGCTGGGACTAAAGGCGTGCACCACCACACAGCTGCATCAGTTTCTTGTTGTGAAAATAAAATGCATGAAAAGAAATTATGAGACAGTAAGAATAAGAGAGGACAGACGTTTGCTAGAACACACTGAAACACACACCACTTCAATGGAGATTTAAGAGCTGCAACCCCTGCTTCTGTCATCATTTCATTAAAATAGCAAACAAATCCTGGATGCCTGGAGAGAACTTTGAAAACAATGCTGTAGAAGGTAATTAAGCCTGAAGTTCTTTTAAGAATCTTCTTTCTCAGGCAAGCACTAAGCTTTGAATATCAAACTAACAACATTTACCTTGCTGAATTGAGTTAAAACTGTCTAATAATCTTCTGACCCCTGCTGGAGTTAAGAGATGACAAGAGCTGGGCATAGTGGTGCACGCCTTTGATCCCAGCACTCGGGAGGCAAAGGCAGGTGGATCTCTGTGAGTTCAAAGCCAGTCTGGTCTACATAGTGAGTTCCAGGACAGCTGGGGCTACAGGGAGACCCTGTCTCAAAAAGACCAAAAAAAAAAAAAAAAAAAAAAAAAAAAAAAGAGAAGAAATATAGAAGAACTGGATTCAGATTTATTTTTTGTCTTTTTTTTCCTAGATTTTTTTTGGGAGGAGGTCTTCTTGAGACGTCGCCTTTTTTTTTTCTAGCTTTTTAGAAATTTTTTATGTGTATGAGTGTTTGCCTGCTCACATGCAAGTGCACATGCAAATGAGATGCTATTCCATTTTTACCTAGCAACTGAACAAAATAAATTGATGATACATAAATAACCATGTATAGCAGGAGTAAGAGGAAATTGATATTTTCAGCAATAAGCTCAGCAGTCCCACTATTAACATTTTTTTTTCTTTTTTTTAACCAATGATTTAATCTAGAACTTCATGCACGCTAGGCACCTACTCTACCACTGAGCTATATCCCTAGCCTCTGCTTTATTTTGTTGAAATAGGGTCTCATTATATAGCCAAAGCTGTCCTTGAATTCACAATCCTTCTGCTTCAGCCTTCCAATGGCTTAAGATTACAGTTGTGTGCCACCATATCCAGCTCCATCGTTAGGAAACTGTCCATTTACTCAGTGATATATTAAAAAGTATTCACTGGAAATGGTGATATGGCACAGTGGGTAAAATGCTTGTAGCCAAACCTGACTACCTCAGTTTGATTCATAGAATCTACATAGTGGAACAAACCCACTTCCATAAGTTGTCCCCTGACCTCCACATATGTACCATGGTACATGTCCTTACCCATAAATAAGTAAATGTAAAACACTTTTTAAAAAAGGTATTCAATGACAGATTAAAAAGTAGCCATATGACGAATAGGGTTGATCAGGAGAAAGCAGAATTTATTAGCAAAGGAGAATATGCCTGCCCAGGTATTGAGCTGGGGTCTTTTAAAAGGGAAGCTTCTGCTTCCTGCAGAAGGTGAAAAGATATATATTTTTTAAGTTGGGTGTGGCGGGGAGGGGGGGGGCAGGACTGTTAAAACCCATTCTCTTTAGAGATCAAAGGGGAAGCCTGCTGTGTTGGCCAAACAGTGGAGAAAAGTCTGCTTCTACTAACTTTTTACCTATCATTCACCAAGTCTTGTTTTTTTTTTTCTTCTTTTTTAAAACAGGGTCTCCCTGTAGCTCCAGTTGGCCTGGAACTCACTATGTAGACCAGGCTGGCCTTGAACTCACAGAGATCTTCCTGCCTCTGCCTCTGCCTCTGGAGTGTTGGGATTAAAGGCGTGAGCCACCATGCCTGGCTGAACCTATAGTCTCAACAAGGTAAGAATGACTACCCTTGCAGAGGGATAAGTGATAAAAGGGTGTGTGCATTTAACCTTCTATCTGTTCACTTGGTAGTTTTCTTTATTTTAAAAATTTATGGACAATGGTCACTAAAGCTTATCTTCTTTTTTTTTTGTCTTTTTGAGACAGGGTCTCCCTGTAGCCCCAGCTGTCCTGGAACTCACTATGTAGACCAGACTCGCCTTGAATTATCTGCTTTTTCAAAAAAGTACTTTATTATTTTTATTTTATGTGTATGAGTGTATTGCCTACATGTATGTAAGTACAGTGGTATTGTGGAATGCCTGAGGGGCTCAAAAGAGGGCATCGAATCCTCTGGAACTGGAGTTACTGATGGCTGTTAGCCGCCATGTGGCATGTGGGTGCTGGGAATTGAACCTGGGTCCTCTGCAAGAGCAGTCAGTGTTTTCCACCACTGAGACATTTCTTCATTATCTGCTTTTTCATTTTCTTTTCTATTCCTCTTTGTCACAAAATACAAACTTAGGTTTTAAAAAAACAGATAAACTATATATAGTTGTCCTTCCTTGTTTTTAAAAATATTTTATTATTTTTATTTTATGTGTATGCGTGTATTGCCTGTATGTATGTAAGTGCACCTGTGTCGTGCAATGCCCGCGGAGGACAGAAGAGGCTGTCGGATCCCCTGGAACTGGAGTTACAGACAGTTGTTAGCTGCCATGTAGGTGCTGGGATTCAAATCTGGGTCTTCTGCAAGAACAGGCAGTGTTCTTAACCACTGAGCCATCTCTCCAGACCCTCTACTTGAGTTTTTAAAGGACAGCAAACATATTAATTCCATACAAAGAAAAAGTCTCAAAGATAAAAAGAAGTGAAGCAGGGATCAGATAGTGAACCAGTAAAGGTGTCAGAGGATTATGGAACTCAGATAACAAGCAAATTTCTTTTCCTAAAAGTATAAAACTTTAGTTTTATTTCTCAAAAAAGTATGTTAAGTATAAAGAATAAAAATATGAAGGGTATAGGGGCTAGGGATGTAGCTCAGTTCACAGGGTGCTTGCCCAACATGCAAGAAGCCTGGGTTTGGGGATTGGAAATATGCTCAGTACAAGATCAGCAGAGGACCTGTATTCAGTTCCCAGCACCCACACAACAGCTCACAACTATCTGTAACTCTAGTTGCAGGGGATGTGACATCCTTTTTGGGCTTCCAAATATACATGCAAGCAAAACACTCATACACATAAAAAACAACCCAAAACAAACAAAAAGCAGCAGCAGTCCTGGGTTTGATCCCCAGTACCACATAGGTGGGGCATAATGGCCTACACCTGTAACCTCAGCACTTTGGAGGTAGAGACAGGAGGATCAGAAACTTAAGGTCATCTTTGACTATGTATCAAGTTGGAAGCTGACCAAAATACACAAATACACAAGATCTTGTCCCCAAAACAAAACAAGATAAAGGATATAAAGTATGAATCCTATTTCACAGTTCATATCTAATGTCAAATGAGATTTCTTTGCTTTTGTCAAGGATGACCTTGAACTTCTGATCATCTTGCCTTTACCTCCCCTCCCAGTGCTGAGAACTGAACCCAGAGCTTTGTGCATCCTAAGTAAACATTCTACCAAGTGAGCTACATCCCCAGCCCCGTTTTCCCACTTCCCTCCAAGGACAATGTCTCATTATGTCTAGTCTAGCTCTGAATTTGTGATCCTCTTGCCTCAGCCTCCGCTGTGCTGGGATTACGGGTTTATGCCACACACCTAGTTTACTCTTTACTTATTTTGGTCAGAGCCTAAATTTATTCAAACAGGAAACCAAAACTCAAGAAAAATCCTATGTCACTTTATCTTGTTTTTCTCTTCTTCATTTTCCCCCATATTTTCTATCAGGTTAAAGATCTATAATTTGAGGGGCTGGAGAGATGGCTCAGTAGTTAAAGAGCACTGGCTGTTCTTGCAGAATACCCAGGTCTGAATCCCAGCAACTACATGGTGGCTAACTATTCCTAACTCTAGTTTCAGGGGATCGGACGCACTGTTCTGTCCTCTGTGGGCACTGCACAACATGGGTATATTTGCACACATACAGGCATAACACTCATAAAATAAAAAAATGCTTATAAGTCACTACACTTTATGTGCTTGAATGCATTATTTCTGTGATGCATTGGTTAATGTTGGCTCTCCCTCTAAGGGGTATTATATTGAAAACTCAAGGCAAGGAATGTGATTGCATTATTTACCTCTATATTCCTAGTGCCTGACAAGACAGCAGGTACTCAATCTTTCTCCTTCCTCTTTTTGCAAGTGGTAGAGATTGAATCCAGGGACTTGGACACTCTAGCCAAGTACCCTATCACTGAGCTATATTTGCAGTGCAATAAATATTTGTGAATAATGCATACACATTCATCTGTCACTTCTTTTAATCCTAAGAGGATAATGTTTCAAGTCTTATCTTCAAGATTTCCTTTAAGGGAATTATTCCTATATATAGAATCCTTATAAATTTCTAAACATCCACACACTCATTCTTTCTAGGAGTATTTCTACTTTAAAAATTTTTGTTTTCTCAGTGTCTCACTCTTGTAGTGCAGCCTGTATCTGGGCTACTCTGTAGCTGGGTTGGAACACCTGGCAATGCTTCTGCTTGGCCTCCCTAGTGATGGAATTATAGAGTGAGCCACTACACTTGGTTTCCCTGAAGTATTCCATGAAGAAATAAAATGAAATAAATAGCTTCCCCCCCCCCAACAGTTTGAGAAAACAAACTGCTTCAAATAAGAGACAAAGTAGCAACAACTTTTAGTTTATTAAGAGATACAACACAGCTGGGCATGGTGGCATGCACCTTTAATCCCAGCACTTGGGAGGTAGAGGCAGGTGGATCTCTTTGAGTTCAAGGCCAGCCGGATCTACATAGTGAGTTCTAGGCTAGATGGGACTACAGGATATCCTGTCTCAAAAAGACCGAAGGAAAAAAAAAAAAAAAAAGAGACACAATACAACGTGGAAGAAGCTGATATAAATCTTACCTTATATTTTTCATTTGCAAATAAAACTGAGGCTCTGTGAAATTTGCATAGAGGGTTCTTGGGATCGATAACAATGGCTTTGTTTAGGGTATCCAAAGCCTTCTCAGATTTTTTGAGTGCATGTTGAACCTATAAGACATAAAGATCCCTCTCCCTATTAATAAGAAAGGTGAGAACCAAATAATGTGATTCAAAAAGCAACACAAGGATAAAGATGAGGCTGTATGGTCTAACTGGACTTCCACTGCGTTAAATGGACTAAGTAACTGATTACCAAATGATAATCAGATTATTTCTAATTGTCTTCCAAGTCTGGCAACTGCTTCATTTTAAAGATAGCACACAGCCTGGTGTGGTGGCACACACCTTTAATCCCAGAACTTGGGAGGCAGAGGCAGGTGTATCTATGTGTGATTGAGGCCAGCCTAGTCTACATAGTGAGTTACTGGTGGGTGGGAAATACAGGGGACCCCGTCAAAAATATACAGACACAAATAAACAAACAAACAAACAAATATAAAGATAGCACACTGTGGGCCAGCAAGCTGGTTTGGTGGGTAAAGCATGTGGTGTGCAAATCTGGTGACCTTAGGTCAATCCTCAGAACCCATGTAAAGGTGGAAGGAGAGAACTAAATCCAAAATTATCCCAAATGCGTGCCCTGAATCACAAACACATATAACTAATTAAAAAAAGTTTTTAAAGAACCCCAAACTCTAAGAGATGTTAAATCATTTCCTCCAGGATGAAAACTTAGGTTCTCTGCCTCTTAATCTACTATGTACCTATAATGATAATCATGATTTGATCTTTATAGCACATATTTGGTTTCTTTCAAGTCTCAAAGTTTGTTTTACCCTTCACAAGAAAAGTGTTTACTTTATCCAGACAATATATTTCAACAGGCTTATTATGGTCCTCTAAATATTGCTTTTAAAAATTTTGTTCAAAGAATCTGTTTATCAATCCTGCCACTCAATTATACTTTTACCTGTCACTCAAACAATTATACTTTAACTTTGGGAATTTATTTGAAAACTAGGGGTTGGTACTATAGCTCATCAGTGAAAATAATCATTGAGAGTAGCAGCTCATGCTTGTAACCTAGCACTGAAGATGCCAAGGCAAGAGCATCAGGGATTCAATGCCAGTCTTGGCCACATAGCAAGTCTAAGTAGCCTTGGCCATATGAAACTCTATATCAAGAAAAAAAAAAACAAGGGGCCAGAGAGATAGCTCAGCCATTGAGAGTACATACTATTCTTGTGAGGACCTGAGTTTGGTTCCCAGAACCCATGTTGGGCAGCTCATAACCACCTGTATGTAACTCCAGCTCCAAAGGATCTAATGCTTATTACTTCCTGGGCACACACACTCATGTGTATACATCCACACACAAATAGTTAAAAATAAGATAAAATCTCATTTGAGTCACGTAACAATCCTGTGAATGGGTAAAGCAGTAAAATTGTTCTGAAAAATTAAGTAACTTGTCCAAGGGAAAATTGTTCTGAAAAATTAAATAACTTGTCCAAGGGATGAGAGCACGTAAGTGCCAGGTGTGGTGGCCCATACCTATAAACCCAGCATTTTTGAGGCTGAGGCAGAAGGGTCTTCACATGTTTGAGGCCAGCCAGGTCTACACAGCAAGACTGTCTCAAAAAACAAACAAAAAGAGCATATGAGGACACAAATAATACTTTTATCATTTTCCATTTTTAGACAGAATCTATCCCAGGCTGTTCCAGAACTTATTATATAGCCGAGGATGACGTTGAACTTGTGATCCTCCTGCTTCTGCCTTCAAGGAGTCCCAGGATTACAAGTATGAGCTGCCATGCTATTTTATGTGGTGCTGGGGATTAAACCTAGGGTTTCATGCACTCTACAAATTGAGCTACATTCTCAGCCCCCAAAGGGATATTTATTTCTTTATGTCAAGTAAAAAAGGTAATGTTTTAAGCTGTGAAAGACTCTAAGGTACTATTTAACAACAAAAGAAAAAGCCCCAATTTTCATTAGAACCATTAAGTCACAAGCTATTTTAAAAGGAGAGTTAACAGAGCAATGTTTAGAAAGTACTTACTACTCCAATGTGGCAAAGTAAAACTGAACTTTGAGGGTTGATATCAAGTGCTTTCTGGAAATGCATTTCTGCAAGGCTGAATTTTTCTTGCTTGTAATAAATCATTCCTAAACCATACCTGAAAGTCAAAACAAATTATAATTTTAAGGAAAGAACTTTTGGCTGCTGATTTAAATACAACCATTAACAGAATAATTATGGTATCTGGCATGTTAATACACAATGGAAAGAATACTGGAGATCTTATGGGGAAGCAAAAGTATTAGTCATGATAAAAATCATTAAAGCATTTTAGAAGACACAATTTTGTAAGTAAAAACAATAAAGTTAACCAATCAAGTAAAACTATGATAATGTGAAAAAAGAAACTACATCCTTAAATTCACTACTATTAATCTAGACTTAATAGTTATTTCTGCTAAGTGATTATTATTAATTTTTTTGGTCTTTTTGGTCTCCCTGTAGCCCTGGCTGGCCTGGAACTCGCTATGTAGACCATGCTGGCCTCGAACTCACAGAGATCTGCCTGCCTCTGCCTCCCAAGTGCTGGGATTAAAGGCATGTTGCTAAATTATGCCTTTTGAGATGGCCTTACTATGTGCCTAAACTGGCCTTGAATCCCTAAGTTCAAGCAGTTCTCTTGCCTCAGTTTTCTAGGCAGCTGGGGAAAATATGCGTGTGCCACTATACTTGGCTCTGGTAAATTCTTTTTCCTTCAATTTATTAAAACCATACTTTATTTAACACATAATAGAATGATTTCATATAGTTTTAAACAAGAAAAAGGGAAAATTTCAGGTTATTACCCCCCCATTCCCAATAAATTAAAAAAAAAATAGGTGAGTCACTGCAACAAATCTGTTCAGTGATTAGCAATGTCTAATTCTTATTGCACTTATGATTAATGGATCTAAAAAAAGGCCCAACTTCCATAATCACTGCCTCAAAGGAATAATACATGTTGGATTCTTTTGGAATGGAAAATTGTTCTTGCTACTTCAATAAAGGGAAAGTTGAATTCACATATCCATTACAAAACAAAACAACAACAAAAAGCTATGACAGAGCTGAAACTAGAAAAAATTTAAGCCTTATTAGCCTTCCATCTTCTTTATGACTCATGTGTCCTTCTGGCAACATTCTGCCTTTGTCATCACCTAATCTAACCCCTTTTACTTTCTTTTTTTTTTGTCTTTTTGAGACAGGATCTCTCTGTAGCCCCAGTTGCCCTGGAACTTGATATGTAGACCAGGCTGGCCTTGAACTCATAGAAATCTGCCTGGCTCTGCCTCCTGAGTGCTGGAATTAACACTAAATCCATGTGCCATCAAGTCTGGTTCTTCTAAATTCTTCCTTTTCTTTCTGTCTTCTTGAGACAGGGTCTCCCTATAGCCCCAGCTGGCCTGGACCTCTGCCTCCCAAGTGCTGGTATTAAAGGTGTGTGCTACCACACCTGGCTTTTATTTAAAGATCTATTTATTTTTAATTAATGTGTATGAGTATTTTTTGTTTTCTGTTTTTTGACACAGGGTCTTCCTGTAGCCCCAGCTGGCCTGGAACTCCCTATGTAGACCAGGGTGGCCTCAATCTCCGAGATAGTCACCTGCCTCTACCACCTGAGTACAGGACTAAAGGTGTGTGCCACCATACTTGGCCTTATGTGTATGAGTGTTTTGCCTGTGTTCAGCACCCACAGAGGCCAGAAGAGGGTGTCAAATCCCCTGAAACTGGAGTTAAGAAAGGTTGTTAGTATCCATGTGTGTTCTGGAAACCAAACCTGGATCCTCTGAAAGAGAAACCAAGTGCCCTTAACCACTAAGCCATCTCTCCAGGCCCAGTTCTTCTAAATTCTTAATGTGAATAATCTTGTTTAATCCCAGAAACTGAAGAAGATAGGTACTGTTATCATTTCCAAGTTAAACAAAGAAATTAAAGCTCAGAAATAACTGGATTAAAGCTACATGTTATAAGGAAGCTAATCAGAACCTTAGTTTTGAACTAAGAGATCTGCCTGCCTCTGCCTGGGATTAAAGGCATGTGCCACCATGCCTGGCTGACATTTGGAATTTTCTTAAGTTGTTCTGCACCTTACTTTTTGAGGCATGGTCTCTTAGTCAAACTGAAACTCAATATTCAGGTAAGCCTGATGGCTGTGAGTTCCAAAGATTCACCTGTCTCTGAACCCTTAGGGGTGGGGTTGCAGGTATGCAGTTCCTCACCTGGCTTTTTACCTAGGTGCCTAGGATCTGAACTCATGCTTGTATAGCAAACACTTTATCGACTGAGCCATTGCCCCAGTTCCAAGCACATGCATATTACAGTAATTATATATAATGCTTTTCTTCACTGTATTTAATATATTAAGAATATAATCTACAATGATTATAACTATAAATTTTTTTTTTTGTCTTTTTGAGACAGGGGCTCTCTGTAGCCCCAGCTGGCCTGGAACTTGCAATGTAGACCAGGCTGGCCTCAAACTCACAGAGATCCGCCTGCCTCTGTCTCCCAAGTGCTGGGATTAAAGGCATGTACCATCTTACCCAGCTAACTATAAAATACTTGTAGAGCAACTATATCATAAAATAATTAAAATATAAAGAAATTTTAATTTAAAGGTCATGTAATAACGTATTATGTTGCTATAAAGGTATTTTTCCTGAATATTCAAAATGTCAACTGACTATGTGGTTACATAAGAAGAACTCTACTTAATGATACCTAAATAACTCAGTATTCAAAGTCCTCCTAGTAAAAATGCCCCAGGAAGAATAATCCTCTTTAGCACTTTTGATATCAGAATTATTGAGAATGCAACTACTGAAAAATAGAAGCCTCTAAACACGAAAAAAAAAAAAAAACCCAAAAAACAAAACAAGTTCTCGGGGCTGGAAAAACAGTTCAGTGGTTAAGAACACTGGCTGCTTGCTCTTGCAAAAGAACTATGTTTGGTTCTCAGCACCCACATGGTAGCTAACAATAGTCCATAACTCCAGTTCCAGGGGATCTGATGCCCTCTTCAGGCCTCTGTGGGCATTGCATGCATGTGGTGCACTTAAATGCAAGTAGGCAAAATATTCATACACATAAAAATAATAGGAGCAGAGGTGCATGGATCTCTGTGAGTTTGAGGCCAGCCTGGTCTACATAGCAAGTTCCAGGCCAGCTGACCCTGCCTCAAAAAGACTAAAATAAATAAATATGAAAAAACCCAAGTCCTATTAAGAATTTAGTTCTTAGCTGGGCGTGGTGGCTCATGCCTTTAACCTTAGCACTTGGGTGGCAGAGGCAGGAGGATTTCTCTAAGTTCAAGGCCAGCCTAGTCTACACAGTGAGTTCCAGGCCAGTTGGGGCTACAGGGAGACCCTACTAAAAAAAAAAAAAAAAAAAAAAAAAAAAAAAAAGACAAATGAATTTAGTCCTTAAAGTGTGACTATTCCACGTGTCAAAAAGAGCTGGATTTTTTCCTTTCCTTGGCTATTTTTCTTTTCAGGAATATAAGTATTTAGAAATGAGATGCAATGGGGCTGGAGAGAGGGCTCATCAGTTAAGAGCACTGGCTGCTCTTGCAGAGGACCTGGGTTCAGTTCTCAATACCTACACGGTAGCTAACAACCATCCATAACTCCAGTTCCATAGGATCCAATGTCCTTTCCTGGCATCCACAACCCATACTGTACCTATATACACGTAGGAAAACACTTAAACACATAAAATTTTAAAAAGTTAAAAAAAGAAAAAGTAGCTGGGTGTG